CAAGGTGCAGTCTTGTCGTGATGAAAAACTGCATCGTACGCTCCGGGACTTGGAGTGATAAACCACGAGGCCCCACTAGGTTAGGCACGGTACTGAACCGGGCGACAGCAAAGGAATATTCACAAGCAAAACAACCACTTACAAACCAATCGAATGACCAGGTGGAGAGACTGAAAGGGATACTGTAGCAACTAATGATCCAGACAGTTACTTCACGAATTATCAATACCACCTAGGATGAATACGCCCTATCGGATGCTTACCAATCAATGCGCTAAAACGCCGCTTCTCGTGAGAGACTGTTATCCAACAACCCTAAATAAACCACAGAAGTATCACTACTCACCTAACTGAACATCCCGGTCACCATTCTTCATCCAATCAGATCGAGCAAATGACACTTTTGTGGATAATATCTGACTTCTTGAGTATAATTCTAAATAGGCTAACGTCCATGTGCCAGATGACCGAGAACGGATGATAGCCCCAGATAATCTTTCTCTGAGGTCAAGACCTTGCAAAAACACCGGAATGATCCTCCTCAACTAAAGATCACCCGACTGTAGCATTCAATCAGACAGAACTGTTTGCCATCTACACTAAATCCTCCTTCTAATATGCATCACCAACCGCGAAACATTTACCTGAACAACCCTGCGCGTATTCTTCAACGAAAAGAACAACAGATTGATTCCCATAACCTGAGGTCTAGAGAAGTTTGAGTGAAGCCTAAAAAACAAGCGGTATCATGTTGAAGCGTTGGTATCAGTATTTTTGTTCTTATGCTGTGGTTCGTCTTCTATTCCTCTTGTTCTCCCCCTTTTCAGCTTTTGTAAATTTTTCTGAAGTTTTGCTTCTTCTGAATTATCACAATCGATTATTTTTTATTACACAAAATGCTTTACGGTAAAAGGGGCAATCCCCATAGTTTACGGACGTTAAAAAATAACCCCAACGTCAGATACCATATGTGCTTCTGGTGTTTGATCAAGATTTGACCAATTTCTCAATTTTTTCACGAAATGAACTTCAAGCATGAAGATAAAACTAGGGGGTCAGCGGTTCCAGGTAGACTTAGTAGAAAAGCACCATTTTCCATCGAAAATGCAAGTAATGGCATCGCACTAAACATCTGGAAAGTATCCATTCAAACCGATGCTTTCGTAGTGCAATCTTCATCTTCAACCTCTGGAATGAAAAGCAGTGTGGACTCCTCTCGTATAAGCCTCCTCTCCTCCAGATCCGGACAAGCTACCCATTAGCTCGCGCCTTTTCAACAGGAAATCGTCTAGACGCCGTTTGAAGCTGTCGTAATCCATCTCTTCCACCACATCCGCCCGGATAGTATTCTAAATGTTGGTCACTCTCACTCATGGACGTATACTGAAGAAAGTCCTGATGATTCATGTTTCTGAAGAGTGAAACGGTGATCGCGTGTATGTGCGTTGTTGCGGAATGGAAACTTTTGTTGCAACTCCTCTCCCAGGTCAACTCAGATGATATTTCTGGTTAGCAGGATGTCACCACGAATACACTTGTAGTTCTCCATGTACAGATCCCTGATAACGAGTCGCTGCTGGTAAACGTATGTGCCGTGTTTGTTATTTGTTCTGTTTCTGTACGCTGTTAACCACGTCGTTCCTTTTGT